ACAACGAACTAAAAAAGAAATGTTTAATTTGCTTAAAAATCTTCTAAATGAAGAGTTTGAGTGGGTTTAAAATCCATTTGCTGAAAGTATTAAAATGCAACATATTCCAATTTCTTTGCAAGAGCAACTGATTGACATGAGAGAAGATGGAAATTTGCAAGCCAATTTTGAACAAAACCTTTGCATAATTGGTGGATGGAATTGAAAATTGAAAATTAATGTCACGATTTAATGAGCTAAGCCCCACAATGCACCTCGTCCATCTGGATCTAGGTATCTTCATGAGGCCTTCTTTTCAGCTATGACAACCATTAAAACTGAATATTGAAATCAACTGAATTTGGAATGAGACACGCAAATCACTGTTCCACAGAGTGTTTTCAGACTTCACAAACCAGGATTTTCAAAAATAAACAAGCATATTCAATCACGTTGCTCTGACTGTGAGAACAAAAGGGCTTTTATTAAATGAAATGCCATAAAATGGCTTTTAAATATATCATTTAAAACAATTCAGTGTATTTTTTCTTCATTTTTATTTATAATTTTAGAATGTATATAATGGATATAGCTTATAAATACATGTATAATGAGCATACCTTCTTTTATATGTGTATATATTTTTATAATGTAAATACTAATATATTTATGTACATGTAGTTCATGTATATAATTTGTAAAGTTCTATATACGTAATTTTGGTTGTTTTTGGTTTTGTTTTGGTTTGGGGTTTTTTTTTTGAGATGGAGTCTCGCTCTGTTATCCAGGCTGGAGTGCAATGGTGCTATCTCAGCTCACTGCAACCTCCACCTCCTGGGTTCAACAGATCCTCCCACCTCGGCCTTCCCAAGTAGCTGGGATTACAAGCAGGCACAACGACATCCAGCTAATTTTTATATTTTTAGTAGACATGGAGTTTCACCATATTGGCCAGGCTGATCTTGAACTCCTGACCTCAAGTCATCCGCTCGCCTCAGCCTCCTAAAGTGCTGGGATTACAGGCACGAGCCACCACCCCTGGCCTATGTCTGTAATTTATAAACAAATAGTTATTAAGGTGCCTGCTCTACATTTTTTACCGATGGGATACGTGAACAACCGAGTTTGAGTCTGAGGATGTGGCAGTGCCTGAGGGGCCCTCCAGTCCATGATTGGAGAACACGTGGGGCCACCCTGACCTGGATGTGAGCCTTCATAATAAACATGTTCCTGAATTGGGTCTCACCTGCCCTGCAGAGGCAAAGCATTGACTGGAGCTTCAGGTGTGTGCATGTTGTTGTTGTGCTATTATTTTATTATTATTATTTTGAGATAGGGTCTCACTCTGTGACCCAGGCTGGAATGCAGTGGCACCAATATGGCTCACTGCAGCCTCAACCTCCCTAGGCTCAAGTGATCCTCTCACCTCAGCCTCCCAAGTAACTAGGACTACAGGCAGGCACCACCACTCCCAGCTATTTTTGTACTTTTTTTTTAAAGAGATACGAGGGGGGACAGACAAGGTGACACACACCTGTAATCCCAGCACTTGGGGAAGCCGAGGCAGGTGAATCATGAGGTCAAGAAATTGAAACCATCCTGGCCAACATGGTGGAACTCTGTCTCTACTAAAAATACAAAAATTAGCCAAGCATGGTGGTGGGCACCTGTAATCCCAGCTACTCGGGAGGCTGAGGCAGGAGAATCGCTTGAACCCAGGGAACAGAGGTTGCAGTGAGCCGAGATGGCACCAGTGTACTCCAGCCTGGGCAACAGAGAAAGACTCCATCTCAAAAAAAAACAAAAAAAGAGATAACGAGGGTTTCACCATGTTGCCCAGGTTGGTCTCGAACTGCTGAGGCTCAAGAGATCCATCCGCCTCGGCCTCCCCAGGTATTGGGATTACAGGCATGAGCCACCATGCCCAGCCAGGTACATACATTTTATAGCTCGGGGGTCAGAGGTCCCAAAGAGCAAGACCCGAGAGCAGCCCCACGGGAAAGACCATCATCTCCTCCCCTGGAAAAAGAAGGACCTCTCTCTCCACTACTCCTCACCCCTCCCACTCAACAGGAGAAGGAAAACCTTTCTCCCACTCAGAGGGACTTCAGAGGCCCCAAAAGGGTAACTCTCTTTCCTGGAGCATCACAGCACGTTGGCAATGGAGACTAAGTGTGAACTCAGACACCCTGGGCACCAGTGCTGAGCTTTTACCTGCTCTGTTCTGTCTTGACCTCTATCTTGATGCGGAGCCTGGTTATTGGTTACCAAATTTTTGCTGTCCTCTCTACTGGAAAGTCCTCCCTGCTGTTCATTTTAGATTTGTGTGTTGCAGATAAAGCCTAGAATATTCAGGAGTCTAAACACTCAAAGTCAATTCTCTGCCCCACTGAGGCAAAGAACATCTCTTTCCAATCTTTTGGGTCTGTCTTAACGCCAAAGAAGAGGGACTTCCAGAGAAAAGTGAAGTCTGCACCTCTGCTGCCTTCTCAGGGGGCTCAGCACCTCCCTGAAGCAACAGGACCTCCCTAAGGCACTCATATGTTCATATGATTCATGTCATTCCCTCCCTGTGCTTGCCCTGCTTAAAGGCTCCTCCTGTATCTCCACTGCCAACCACAGAAAATTCCCACTGCTCAGGCGAATCTATACCCTGGTCCCACTCATTTGCATCAGTCACCTGCAGGAAACAGAAGCCACATTAGCTAGTGTAAGCAGAGAGGCATTTCATGCAGTATTCTGTCCTTAGAAAATGATCAAGAGAGCTAGAGGAGCAAGCTGCACTGCAGGAATAGCTCCCAGGACACAGGGGCCGAACAACCCACCTGGGAGTCTCGCCCTCTGCTACGGTCAGGAGATAAGGAATCAGGAGTAGCCGGGCACGCCTGTAATCCCAGCACTTTGGGAGGTCGAGGCAGACAGATCACTTGAGGTCAGAAGTTCAAGACCAGCCTGGTAACATGGCGAAATCCTGTCTCTACTAAAAATACAGAAAAAAAAAAAATTAGCTGGGTGTGGTGGCGCACGCCTGTAGTCCCAGCTACTTGGGAGGCAGCGGCAGGAGAATTGCTTGAACCCAGGAGGTGGAGGTTGCAGTGAGCTGAGATTGTGCCACCGCACTCCAACCTGGGTGACACAGTGAGATTCCATCTCAAAAAATAAAAATAATTACCAAGCCAGGCACGGTGGCTCATGCCTGTAATCCCAGCCCTTTGAGAGGCTGAGGTGGGAGAATCACTTGATGCCAGGAGTTTGAGACCAGCCTGTGCAACACAGTGTGATCACATTTCTAAAAAAAAAAAAAAAAAAATCTTCAACTACTATTGAGATATTTCATATTATTTTTCATACTGAATCTTTAAAATCTGAATTGTATTTTGCACCAACAATTTGCATATCTTTATTTAGCCACAGTTCAAGTGCTCGGGATCCACACGGGACTAACACTGACAGCAGATGGCTCAGCTCTGGCCTTCTGGAGGCCTCTTGGTTCACCAGGCCGAGATTTGGGGGCCTTTTCTATGAGTCATGCTCCCCCATGAACAATGTGCCCCTTGGGGGCAGGAGCCTTGTCCTATTCATCTCTATATCCCACGCCTGAATGCAGGGGCAATCAATAAATGTTTTGTTTTGTTTTGTTTTTTTGAAATAGAGTTTTGCTCTGTCACCCCGGCTAAGCACAGTGGCGCAATCTCGGCTCATTGCAACCTCCATCTCCCAGGTTTAGGTGATTCTCCTGCCACAGCCTCCCAAGTAGCTGGGATTACAGGCACCCACCACCACGCCTGGCTAATTTTTATAGTTTTAGTAGAAACGGGATTTCATCATGTTGGCAAGGCTGATCTCGAACCCCTGACCTCAGGCGATCCTCCCACCTCGGCCTCCCAAAGTGCTGGGATTACAGGCACGAGCCACCACACCTGGCCAAATAAATGTATTTTGAATGAATAAGTAATGTGGGTTCTCTACAAGAAAAAAGCTCAGTCAGAAATTATATTTATTAGTTTGTTTAACTGATTTTCCCTCTCCTTTAGTGAGAGACAGGAGAATACATCAAAATACAGGCTAAGGTTTTTTGTTTTTTTTTTTTTTAATCTACTTGGACTCTCTTCTCTCAGAAGAGTAGATGTTGGACAAGGTGCCCCTCTCAACTAGGGAAATTGTGTATTTTGAGGCTCCCTCACTTTAGACCAGCGCCCCCAGACCAGGTTCTGCCATCAGTGTCCTCCCCCTACCATGGCTGAACACCCCCTTACAACATTCTGCGACCTCTGGCCCTTCTAGAACACGGAGAAGGTTGGAGCCGTGAAGAAGGAGCAACCAGACTTCTGGGCTTCCTGACATCACCCTCCAATGCCTCCCCTCAGGGAACTCCCACCCTGGGGCACAGACCAGACGAGGGACAGAGATAGCCCATGAGTGAAGGAACAGCTATAAGCCCCTTCTCAAAGCCCTCCAGACACTTCAGCCTTTTTTCCTTGAGTGAGCGCCCCATCCCAGGCTAGAGTCATTACTGTGAAAGCAGAGGAAGAAGAAAAGACAAACTCGTACCTAGCCTTGCTTCCAATAGGCCCGTACCTGCGCCTGTCCCAGGGTGACCCAGCACAAAGGGGGGCTGCAGAGGGTCTCCTGCCCACTGGCCTCCTGCTTTGTCAAGGCCCTCACTCTCTGCCAGCTCTGCCAACCCCTGGCCTCTGACCCAGCCAACACCTGAGGGGTGCCCGCTGCATACCTTGATCCTAGCAATGCCCTGTCCAACCAAGGACTCCCTGACCATGTGGTGCCACAAGAAGGCCAAGCAGGAACTCGGGAGCCCCTCACACACACCCGGCCCCAAAACCTGCCACCCAGCACTTCCCTTCCTGCTGCCTGTGCCAGCCCCACCTGAGCTCACTGGACCCAGCAGGGGTGGGGCCTCCTGCTGTCAGGGCCACGGTGCAGACCCCGCCCAGAGGGGAGGGGAAAGGGCGGGCAAGCTGCTTTTAAGGCAGGTCTGGAGGTGAGCTGGCGCCTCTCCCGACTCCTCACCTGGACTGTGAGTCGTCGTGATCCAGTAGTGAATGCAACAGCCTGCCCACCTGTGGACGCCAGGTAGGTGCCTTTATTCTTTAAGAACGGGAACACTGAGCACCTTTGCTGGCCCTGACTCATTTAACCATTTAATTTTTTTTTTTTTTTTTTTTTTTTTT